ACTTATGAACCACTTGACCACATTCCAAGGTTATGAGCGTCATAAAGCGTAATAAAGATTGAACGAATTATTGAGAATAGCTTTAGTGTGAAATGAATTCAGTGAAATTGGTCCCACCTCTATGGTTTAACAGTTCAATCATCGTATAAACGACATAAACAAAGTCAAGATTAGAACGTGTTTGATGTACTGTTTTAGATATAACTGTAGTAAAGAACGGGAACGAAATCGTATACATGTATTATATTTACGTCTATTTCAAATCCCTCACACGTACTTAATTGCCAGTGCAAGAATTAAAAATGGCCTTACCAGACAATAATTTATATTTTTCTATAGATACATAAACTAGTACACGAGGGTCTAGAAGGGGGTCCTTCATTTCTTTATTCTTTAACTTTTCATTCCATTTTTTCTATGTTTACCCTTATTCTATATGCTTTATATTTTAGCATCCCATTATTCTCTATTAAATATTTGTTTGTCCTATTTTTTCTCTATTCTTTATTTCTGTTTTTGTCATTTATTCTGCACATCGTGCCCATTTTTCTCTTTTCTGCACATTTTGCCCATTATTCTCTATTCTGCAAACCCATCCAGACCCTCATATAATATCAGTAGTTAACCGAATTTTAAGAATGCGATTAAGAAAAGAAAAAGACAACAAATAGATCAGAAGACATATATTGCAAACTCGAAGCAGTTGTCGATAAAATCGACAAAACAGGAAGAATCGAGTAATCCGTATTATCTCAAAACTAAAATCAGTGATATGATTGCAAATGAGACAGCTTTCTACCAAAAGCTCAAATGACAAGGGTGTAATCAAATACAGGTCACCGGCCGTACGTCCTTTAGCAATGAGCAAAACACATACTCAATGGTAAGCAACAAAAGGTTCCGAACAAAATGTAAAACAATGCAACACAGAAAACCTGATTTAAACCAATTTCATTAAATGGAAACAGTTTCGACAGCTGTTTACCAACGGCAACCATTTGGCTTTAGGTTTCTGGATTGGGACAGTCACATTAAGAAAGTGACAGGGTTCAACTAGTTTGGGGCAGTGAATTTTAAACACAACATCTCATCAGATTGGTACTCATGATGGTCTGGATGGGGTTTACACAATAGAAAATAATGGGCACAAAGTGCAGAATAAAGGGCAAAATAATATAAATAATAGAGAAAAATAGGCCACCCAAAAATAAAGAATAGAGAATAATGGGTTGCTAAAATATAAAGAATGGAGAAAAATGGCCTAGCAATTAAAAAAAAAAGAAATGAAAGATCCCATATCCAGACCTTCACTCATCGCAAGAATAACAAAAACTCAATTGGGACGATTCAAAAGTACTCCCAACATTTAATGAAAGCTAGTATTAAGCCCAATTTTAGCTATTAATATATCATGTTTTCCCGGTCTAAAGTATTAATCAGCTCACCTCCCATGTAATATGTAAGACACTGATTTTATAACGAAGAGGAATGTAAATAAAACCGGAGACAACCAAAAACTCACGAAGAGCATCATTCACAAAATCGCGGGAATAGTTATGCTACGACGGTATGACGTAATACCTACGATGTAGATGAAAGATTAATATTAGTCCATCTGAAAGGAAGATGACCCAGATGGTATTAAAATGTGAATAGAAATCCAATATCCTAAAAATATTAATCTTTTTTTTAATTTTTTTTTCCTATTTAGAAGTAAATACGTTGAAACTTGATATAACCAATATGACAAATGCCTATGTTTGGAAATCCAAATCACAAATCTTACAGCCACAAAACCAATTTGTCTCATGTAAAGGTTGATCATGTACCTTAGTGTAAAAGAGGAAAGTGTCAATTTCCCTTAAATTATTTTACGTACTTGGTAAAAATCAAAAGGTTGTTAAAACTGACCTGAAATGGAGAGCTACGATTTGCTGCTGAAAACCATTTTGATATAATATCGCAAATTCTATTTGAAATTGTGACATCTTGCAACAAGTTCGAGGACATTTTTAACCATTATCACGAGTGTTGCTCGTATCAAACAGCTTAATGGCCAAATAAATTATGGAGAAAAAAAGCAAAAACAAACAAAAAAATAAAAACAAAAAACTATTGTCTACTGAAGTACAACACACTTATCCTGTACTCTCACACAAGCATAAATTAATCAAAGCTAGTAAAAATAGACAATTAAAATAATTCTTTATATCTAATATGCAGGAAATATCAAGTAAACGGATGAAATTATATGATTTTAAATATCTTTGGGTGATGAATTTTTAGGTGAAAAAGTGTGTTGTTTTAGTACAAATAAGGTCAAAATTTAGTATGTCAGAAACTGTCATATTTAACATAGAATTGTCTATAGTTTAAGTTGGAGCTAGTAAAACAATTTTCAACTGATTTTATAGTTTGTTCTTATGTTGTGCTGTAACACCACTGTCCTAAGTTAGGGGAGGATTGAACGCTCACAAACATGTTTGCATTCAGGTATCACAGATCAAATTTATTCGTTCATTGTGTATTAATTTACGTTTTTTGATCGAGTTAAGCCTTCCAATTGATATTGTATTGTGTGTCTTTCTATGTTGTGATGTAATAGTATTGTTTCAGAAAAGGGAGAAGGTTTGGTACCATTAAAACGTTTAATCCCGCTGCAAATGTTTGCACCTGTCCTAAGTCAGGAATCTGATGTACAGTCGTCTGTTTATGTAGTTCATACGTGTTTCTCGTTTCTCGTTTTTTTTATATAGATTAGACCGTTGGTTTTCCCGTTTGAATGATTTTATACTAGTAAGTTTTGGGGCCCTTTATAGCTTGCTGTTCGGTGTGAGCCAATGCTCCGTGTTGAAGGCCGTACCTTGACCTATAATGGTTTACTTTTATAAATTATTACTTTGATGGAGAGTTGTCTCATTGGCACTCATACCACATCTTCCTATATCTATTAACCCCGCCAAATTATTTAAGGCCATTATTTTTCGTTTCATATTTTTCATGTCGGGGACTTTTATAGCCGACTATACGGTATTGGTTTTTCTGATTGTCGAAGGCTGTACGGTTGCCTATAATTGCTTACAAACGATGTTAAAAGGATGCTTCGGGTAAAATAAGAATTAACAAACTTTTAAAAAATGACATCTTTTTTCAATAGATAATGTACAATACAGAATATTCGGCAGGATAAAATCCTCCCTATGTTTAATTGGGGTGAGGGTTGGGGGATGAATACAAATCTGTGTTTAAATCATTTTTAGAAATGATTATTTCAGTAATGCATTTGAGACGCAAGTTAAAAATATAAAATTGTGTGGGGATTTTTTTTTTCGTGAGCAGCAAGACAAAAGTACCGACATGCTGTGTACTCATCTTGTTCTACACTCAGTAGGTTATTCTTTCTCTAAATGAACAAAAATATAGACATGTTAAAATAAAAAGTCTGATCTATATGTTGTATTTTTAAATCCTTTACATACATTTAAAAAAAAGAAAGATGTATTCATTATTTGTAAATTGATCTAGCGATTACATAATATACATTGGCCTATACAGAGAGTCAGACTTTATAATCTCTTACATATACTTTAAGTTTAATGAAGTACAAAAAACTTAACCTGTACGCTCACACAAGCATAAACTTATCAAAGCTAGTAAAAATAAACAATTGGTCTTAAATTAGACTTTATTGATTTAAAAATACAAAAAAAGTTTTTATTGTTCGAACACCTATGCATCTTCGTGTTTAATTAACACCATAACTTCAAAACTTATTTTTTCCGGCAGACAATTGATTGTTTAAAGATTAATTGCAAAGTGCAAATAATATGCAAATTTTCTATTTCAACATGCATTAGGGAATGTTATAAGTACTGCCCCATTTTCCGATGAGTAGTACCACAGAAGACCCTCAGTACCTTCGAGATGAAGACTGCAATTGTAGTTTTGTGTATTCTAGCATTCACAGGTAGGTTCTTTATTTATTCGAATATTGAGGTTTGATTAAGCATATAGAGGGAAAATATTACAAGTCTATTTGCCAATTTCTAATTCGATTCTGCTATTAGACTCTTAAAACACAAGTAGTTTCCCTTTGTCAATTGTATGCCGGTTCTGATCCGGACGAAAAGGGAATCTGCTAATGCAAAGTAGTTTTTGATGAAAACCTTTTTGAGCTTAGAAGTGATAAAATCTCATTTAAAGATTTAAAAAAATATACGGATTGAGAACTTCTCTTAATTAGAAATTAAAAAAAAAAACAATGTAAAAAATAAACCTCTTACATGAACTCACCATAGAGCATATATTTACGGTTTATAACATGTTAATGCTAACACAATTCGCTTATCATACGGCTAATTATTCGGTAAGTTATTGTTGGTTATTGGTGAGGCCCGCTTTGTCAGTTTCCAATATTTTTAGTAATTCCTGTTTTGCACATTTTAAAAAATTACGCATTTTCTGTACACTTAGATTTTAGTAATAACACGACAAAGGTACTATTATTATTATGCACTATCTATCTGTGTACAGCAACACATTTTGTTTTACATTATTAAGCGGACTCATTGTATCTCTTTTTGTATTACACTACAAAAATCACAAGACAATATTCAAAAACTATGGAATGATTGCATATAAGTTACTAGAATGTTGGTTTATTTGTTTCTCTTCCGTTGGAAAAAAATATGGTTATTTTAGATGTTTCAAATATACCAAGGTTATATCATTTAACGCTAGATGCGAAGGATAAGGGGACAAGTCCTCCTATAAGGGATGTGTTTATTGGGAGGGGCATTCAGGATCCAAAAGTTTTTTTTGAAGCATAAAAGCTCTTTAGAAAGCAATAAACGCTTTTTAAGGATGTACTAAGTTGGAATTAAAAAAAATCTAGAATTTAGAATTGATACTATAAATCAGAAGAGCATTAGTTAAGGAACAAAATAAGTTAAAATATTGATAGATTATGGAGCTCCTTTTCGAGATATTCATTTTTTTTTTAAATGGCGGGAAAAGGCTGACTCGGACTTTTACCTTATATTTGCATTGGTATTATTTGGGTCTAATATCGAAAGAAAAGAAATCTAGAATCTGCTTAAATTTGTGGTTAATGATCTTTTATGATCTTTTGAAGTCTTATATGAAAAGAAAAATGGGTGTTATTGGGCAAAATATTTTACCCTGTATCGTAGGGAAAAAAACAACAAGGAGTCCGAACATTTGACAAACATTCCTAAATCTCACCTAAGTACATCCTTAATTGTATCGGAATTTTTGCTACAAAAGGAACGAAAACAGAAGAAGAAAAATTGAAATACCGATAAAGTTGTTTAACACAAATACTATTATACCTCCCAACTGTTCTTTAAGGATGTTTGCTCCTTTGTTTCAAAAAAACATGCGTTTTAAAAGACTGTTGTTATACATTGATAGTATATAAATAAAGGAACTAAAAAAATAGAAAAAAAATTAAGGGCCCGTGTGTCTGTTTTCGAGAGATAGGCCATTGAAAATTTGGCGGGGAATAATTCTCTCTAGACATTCCATATATTTAACATTGGCACCCTTTTTCTTAAAAGAATTATGAAAAATTAACAAGGCTTTTATAGCATTTTCAAATATGGCTTTTTAAACTGTATGTAATAAAATTATGAAAACAAAAGTAGGGGTTAGCGGGGACATTTTTTTCATGGCACTACATGGATAAAACCAGAGGATTCCGAATATCTGGCAAAAATTCGAAAACATGAGGAGTGAACATCCTTAAGGTTGATTCCATGTATACCGCCATCTTCGATTGTACAATAGCAGTACGAAATCGGTCTAGTTCTTTGCCTTAATCTGCAAATGTTTTAGACAGATTTGCAATTTATGTGAAAGACTGTTTAATTGTATAAATAAAAATAAGAGATCTAATAAAACAATTGCTTCTAAGAAAAAAATCTTTTTATAACTTTTGTGTTTTGTCTTCAAATTTTGTTGTTAGCGTATTTTGTCGGGTACTTGATGACGGATAGCGTTTGACGTCTTAAGCCGAACAGTTTTATCTTTTTTACTTTATTGTATGCCTGTATGCTGGTTCATATTCTGGACGCAATTCTTTGCTCCTTTCAATTGATAAAACGGATAACAAAAAACAAATAATGAAACTTTGAAATGGAAAAATACTTAGTACTAAACTCGTTCAAAGGGTATCTACACGTCTCAATCTTCACAATCGATTATCTAAAAATACTACAATCGCTAACAAGTCGTAGTTACCCTTCTATCTATAAGTGTCATTCCAAAAAATGACTTACATGTCCCCGTCTTACCACCAACAATACGGTAAGGTCCACGTTTAATGGTCGCATATTTTTCCTAAATTTTGAAACTGATATCACTTGAAAAACTAACAGAATTATATATTAACTCACATGAAACAAACCGGGATACGGTATTCAGTACGTAGGTGAAACTGGACGATATTTGTCTTAACGCACACAAATACACCTTTATCGTTTTAAAAGACCCCATAAATTCAAAAGTATCATTTATCAAAACCTTAAGAAGCACAATCATTCTTTTAAATATTTAACAGTTCAACCTTTAGAAGTAGTTAATAAGCAGCCTGGGGAATCTCATTCAAAATTTGTACGATCACGAAAAATAATTGAATTAAATGGATTAAAAAATTACAGACAGTCTATCCTCTCGGTCCTAATGACAATATCATGGGAATTGGTAATATATCAAGAACAGATTCATTTTGGATGTAGTTTCTAAAACAGTTCGTAAAACCGTTCTCATGGTCGTAAAATAAATTGCAATAAAATAAAATTTCGTAATAACAATACAAATATTTCTATTTCAAAAAACAATGGTAGACATTATCTATTAAATAAGATCTGTTCTTTGTTAATGAATTACATCAAATTTTGGAGGAATGCAACACAATTCCATATTGCAGTCCTAAGTATGAAATCGTCCAAATTATAATTGCATATTGTTCTTCTAAATTGTTTCCTAAAGTTGATCGCCCTGAAGATCACAAAAAACATTTTATCAAAATTAAATATGTCAATAAAGGTTTTGATTTTGTAAATATTGCCGGTATTTTTAATGATCATTCTGTTGAGGAACAAATTCCTGGCTATTTTGATAATACTGAACTTCCTCTTATTTGTTATGTTTACAAAAAATCTACCCGAAAATATGCGTTTAATTACAGCGAAGTGGGTAAAGATGTTAATATCAGTGACAATACACCTACCTCATGAAATTGCAGTAATTCCGAATACATTTATGGCCCCAACTCCCATGTTATAACAGGAGACCTTAACATCGTACATGACCGAGAGTTGAAATCATTTCTCAGTAAAGTACCTAAATATCGCCCCCGTCAATTATTAATTGGAATGAGTGTCGTAACATCATCCACGACTCACTCCGTACTTACTGCTCTAAATGGATAAAACGAGAAAAAGGTGACAAGAAATCATTAGATTCTTTTTTAATTCACTAATGAACATAGTTGATATACGTATTCAACATTTTAATGATAATTTTACTCCTAACAACAACCATAATAGCCCCATTTCCCGTATCAAACATAAGCTAAAAGAACTCGCCAAGGAATTTGTTTTTGTCCCGGCTGACAAGGCTGCTAACAATATCATTATTGTTTGACGTAAATTTTACATTGAGGTTCTAAAAAAGGAAACCACGAATTCACCAACATTCCATCTGACTCCAATTTCGGAAAATGACATCTGTAACAAACATAAACTTTTAGCTACCTCTTTACAAGCAGAACCAAAAACAATGGAACTATGTATTGGCTTCCGAAGCTGCACAAAACTCCTTACGAATATAGATTTATTTCGTCAACAAACCATTGTTCAACTACTAAACTATCTATTCTACTTACTAGTACACTTGGTGCAACCAAAAACCTGGTAATAAATTGTTCAAATAAGGCCTTTGAAAACAGTGGAATTAGTTACTTTTGGAGTGTCAAAAATTCGTTCGAAGTACTTGATAAATTGCATGCTTATATTGATAATTTCGATTCTGTTCAAAGTTTTGATTTTTCTACCTTATATACCACTTTGCCTCATAATCTTATTAAGAATAAATTCACACACCTGATTAAATGGGCATTTAAAAAATCGAAATGCGAATATATATGTTCAAACTCTTTTAGGTCAATTGTTATGATTTAAAAAATAAAAGAACTATGTCAATTGGACCTGCTTTGACACTATAACTGCCCTTGAATTTTTACTAGATAACACTTTTGTTCGCTATGGAGATTCCGTATATCGTCAGGTTATCGGAATTCCCATGGGGAATAACTGAGCACTTTTATTGCGGACCTGTTTCTGTATTGTGATGAGTTACAATTTGTGACTAAAATCAGCAAAGACCCATCGAAACAACATCTGATTCAAAAATTTAATAACACTTTTAGATATTTAAATGATATATTGGCTATCAATAATGACGACTTCAGTATGTACAGTAAAGAGATTTATCCTGCCGAACTGACTTTAAATAAAGCTAATACCAACAATGAACACTGCCCTTTCCTGGATCTTGATATCTATATCTTTAACGGGAAGCTTAATACTAGTATCAAAATTTATGATAAAGAGCTGATTTTTCATTTCCTATTGTTAATTATTCATTTTTAGATGGTGACGTTCCCTTGTCACCATCTTATGGTGTTTATATATCTCAAATTGTTCGATTCGCTCGTGTATGTAACAACGTATTTGATTTCAACGAAAGAAATCTCTGTATTACTGAAAAATTATTATACAAGGGCTTCCGATATCACAAACTAGTCAACACATTTACTAAATTTTATCATCGGTACAAGGACATCATTCGTAAATATAATTCAACATGCAGACATCTTATACGTTCAGGTATTTCACATCCAATATTCTATGGTAATATTCTTTACAAAGCACAAAAATGTCGGCATTCACATCAAAAGCTAACCAAACCTTTAAACAGACTTATTCGGAAGGGATATAGATACGATACTGTTGTCAGGTCATGAAGGATTGCATATTTTGGTATTAATATTGATTCACTCATAGGGTCTTTGCATCGGAAATAAACACATTTATTCTAAAACTAGTTGTTGCATGATAAGGGTTATGTTATTCTCATATATTTTATGATGGTATGATACTAAACCCCTAACGGGAGGGATGGTACTTGATTTTCATATGATGAAGACATAATCTTTCAATCAGTTTAATTGAGGTCTGGAGCTGGCATGTCAGTAACTGCTAGTTGTCCTTTGTTAATTTATGTATCATTGTCGTTTTGCTTAGTTTCTTTTGTTACCTATTCTGACAGCGGACTCGGACTTCTTTTAAACTGAGTTTCACTGTGCGTATTGCTATGTGTTTCTTTTTTCTACATTGGCTAGAGGTATAGGGGGAGGGTTGAGATCTCACAAAACATGTTTAACCCGCCGCATTATTGCGCCTGTCCTAAGTCCATTTTCATTGAATTAGGGGCCGGCTGAGGACCACCTCCGGATGAGGGAATTTCTCGCTGCGTTGAAGACCCATTGGTGGCCTTCGGTTGTTGTCTGCTCTTTGGTCGGGTTGTTGTCTCTTTGACATATTCCCCATTTCCATTCTCAATTTTATATGATAAATATGTGTACCGGAAAATTAACGCAAACCAGTTCCGAATAATTGCGCAATTATACATTTGAAAAAAAAAAAAAAAATGATACCCCTGAAAAACAGTAATTGTCGAAAAATGAGTCCTGTCCCCTTGAGAACCCGCCACTGATAAGTCATATATTTAAGTATTTGAATAATTAAATTCATCATTCGGATCTTATGGAATATTTATTTTTACATAATAAATTTAAAAAACAAAAGTTTGAGGGATTGACAAATTTGAAACTGAAAATAGTTTTCAATACACATAATAATGACACATATGACATGGACATACAGTGATTTTAAAAATGGTGACCTTATCGTACTTGACACAATGTAATTTACATTCAGTATGTAATCAATCGAATTAAACCCCCTCTATTTTCGCTGCGTTCTATGAACGTATTTTGTTAAACCATTATCAGGAGCTCTCTGGGCCTGAGATTGAGACAGCTAAAGAGGGATACTTGAGACGTATGTAATAATAAAAAGGGATAAGTGGTTACACCATGTGTTTTCCAGTTTCAACTATTTGAATTTTGTTCAGGCTATAGATATAACCATGATTTAACAGAATTACCGTGAATCATTTTCTACTACGTATTTATACATTCATAGCTATTCCTATTTCTATAAAATACCACATTATATTTATATGAACCTCTGAACCTTCAATTGTGTAAATATTTGAAAAATTCAACGAGAGGAAAAGTTTGGTGGTACGCATGCATACCCCTTTAAAAGAGGCAAAATATTAAGCCCAATATTGCCCAAGGGACCTTCAGTCTAGCCGTGTGTGACATGCAATACATTTGGGAATGACGAAACACCGCCAACGTGCCTCAGCAACGTACCTCAGCAAGGTACAAGAAAATATATCACCAGGCTGTGAAACATACCTAATTTTCTCTTTTGAATTGTTTTATAGTTTGTCATGTCTTAGACTATATCTGTAAAACTTATATTTGGCAAAAGGGTGAATGAGGCAGAGTGAGAAAGGGGAGGGGGGGGGGGAGGGGGGGGGGGGGGGGGGGGTTCTTAGCTTGTGGTTATTTCGCCTTCATATTCAAAGTTGGGAAGTTGCAAAGCTATGTTTTCCCCCACTTTTTGGCAAACAAAAAAATACTGAAAATAAAATATGAAAATGAAAGAGATCACTGACTATCCTTTAGACAATTAGACTATAGAAAAAGTAGTTTTGTTATAGTTTTTCCACCTTCCAGTCTAAACTTACGCCATAGGTGTTACATCACGCTCAACCAAATCATGATGGAATGATATAAGTTAGATAAACATAATGGTACCAGCTGCTTTTCTCAGTGTATATACTGACCTCGTATTTCATTTTTGTGACCCAGTATTGTTGTCTTTTTTGTTAATATATTTCATTTTAACCCAAATAATGTAAATCGTTATATTTCAACGACCTCCGAATGGTCTCCGATTGCTACATTAGCATAAATAGGCTATAAACAGCTAGAGGGCGCAAAATTATTTGAGTTAAATATATTTCCTTATATCCATATTTAACTTAATTTATAATTAGAGAGATTAAAATATTTATACATTCAAAATTCTGTTGGAAAACGGACTTAAGTGCGTGAAATAAGAGTTTCAAAATATAAGAAAAGTTTGAACCCGCAAACATCCGTAAGAGAAAATTATTTTTTCGCGAATAAAACAAAAACTACTAACAAAAGTTTTATATAGACTTAATCTAGATCAGTCGCACTCATGGAATTAATAAATCTCATCATACAAAACAGGATTAAAATTTTTACGCCAGACGCGCGTTTCGTCTCCTCTTCGTTTTTTCAAGACTCATCAGTGACGCTCGAATCAAAATAGTAAAATTTGAAATACATCTTATCGCTATTTATTCTAATCCGGATAAATTATGATATTAAACAACATTTTTCACAAGGTAACAAACCAGTTGAAGTAATCTGGGGCCCTGTTTGAACAATGTATTGTGCACAAAACTTTTCAGAGACCCTCTTCATCGTAAACACTTCAAACAAAGCATTTTTATGACTTTAATTTTGTCTCAAAAAATTGGATCATAAACTTTCAAAAATTCAAAATGTTCACTTTCTGAAATTTTTCTTCGCTCATTTCATTACTGACGACCTTTGTTTTTCTGGACTCTTAACCCAAACAGAAAGTTGTGTAAGTAACTATTTTTTCTGGATTGGACTTAGGATGTTTGCTCCTCTCGTTTTTGAATTTTTGTCAGATATTCGGACATCTCTGGTTTTCTCCATGTAGTGCCATTAAAATTTTGCCCACTAACCCCCCTTTTTCTTTCCATAATTTAATGACATATAGTTTATACTCTCAATTTTAGGCCAGTTTGTATACTAAAATTTTATTAAGACGCACACCACCTATTCTGGGTCCTCAATCCCATCCACGTTAAAATTTTCACTTCAAAACATTTGATGGAAGCGGGATCAATATACCTGTATTTATACATCAGACCGTATTTCACTGGTTACCGGAATTTTTGATACATCAAACCAGGCACTTTAGATCTGAGAAACAGGCTATATATGCCCTCAATTTTAGAATTCATTCAGACATTTTTGTATTATTCAAAATTATCAGTAAATTATGTGTTCTACAAGGATCACCAGTCCTTCACCTTTCATTTGATACCTTAATTACTAAAGCATATGCTATAAAGTTTAAGATTTACCCTTAAACGTAGGAGCTATTTTGTTTTAAATGTGTATTATTTTCCATTATGTTCTTTTCTGAATGGGCCCGATTGGGTGGTGTTACATCTTACAAAGACTATCCAATTTATTTTTGCAAAGAATTCCGCTCAAGCCGGTGGTAGGCGCCGTCTTAAACTTGCAGTGAGGTGAGAGTTTTTTTGCTCCGTGCTGAAGGCCTCACTGTGGCTTTGAAATAAAGAACAGCAATAAAAGCGCTGTTCCTTTGCTTTTTGTTTGTTTTTTTGCTGTGCATGAACTGATTTTGTGGCATGGATGGATACCCCATATCCTTTGTTTTTCTATCAAAATGTCATCCTAGAAAATCTAATAAAGTTCTAGTTATTTTTTCATTATTTTTTGAAAGAAAAAAGGTGCCAATGTTAAATTTATAAAAAGTCTCGATAGAATTAATTCCCGCCAAATTTTCAATGGCTTGTGTCCCGAAAATAAGCATACTGAACTTCATTTTATCTGCTTTTTTAGTTACTTTACTTATATACTATCAATTAATAACTGTCTTTCAAGAAGCTTGTTATTTTGAAACAGAGTAGCGAACATCCTTAATGGCGATAATGTGTATTACAATCTTTCATGTTTTCTCGCTAATTTACGTCCCTCTTAAGCTGGGAATAATTACAGGGTCAATTCTATATTTGCAGAAGTACTTACTGCATATATTTCCTTTTTTATATAGCAGTTGTAGCTGACAAAAAATCTAACTGCAAATGTAAAGTAAAATGTGACCCAGGCGAAAAGAAAATAGATATTTGTTCTGGTGGTAAAATTTTATGCTGCTGCGCTGGTATCTTCAAGTCTGGAAATGAAAGGAGAACTAGTCCTGGAAGTTCAGGCAGTGGTCGATCAAGCTCTGGAGGTGTATCAGGTTTGAATCAATATGGCATTGTTTCGACCGGTGGAATATCCAGAGGTAAAAATGGTGCAGGTGGAATGTCCGGAGGTGGAAGTGGTCCAGCTGGAATGTCAAGAGGTGGAAGTGGTGGAGTCGAAGAAAAAAATGTTTATATAAAAATTGGAAGTTCCGTAGGCGGCTATGGAGGTGACTATAGCTACGGTTCTGCAAATTATGAAGGTGCCGATGCTGGGGGCGATGGAGCTGGGGATGAAATGTCTGCAGATGCTGGAGGTGGAAGTTCGGGTAGTGGAATATCTGGTGTTGGAAGTGCTGGAAAAGGATATGGTTACGGTTCCACAAGTTATGGAGGTGAAAATAGCTATGGTCATACACCTTATGGAGGTGCCGGTGCTGGAAGTAGTGGTACTGGTGGTGGAGGTTCTGGAGGTGGGGGTTCTAGAGGTGGAAGTTCGGGAAGTGGAAGTGCTGAAAAAGGATATGGTCACGGTTCCACAAGTTATGGAGGTAGAGAAAGCTATGGTCCTACACCTTATGAAGGTGCCGCTGCTGAAAGTGGTGGAACTGGTGGTCGTGGTTCTGGAGGTGGACGTTCTGGAGGTGGAATTTCGGGAAGTGGAAGTGCTGGAAAAGGATATGGTTACAGTTCTACAAGTTATGGAGGTGGAGATAGCTATGGTTCTACACCTTATGGAGGTGCCGGTGCTGAAAGGCGTGGTACTGGTGGTGGAAGTTCTGGAGGTGGGGGTTTTGGAGGTGGAAGTTCTGGGGGCGATGGAGCTGGGGATGAAATGTCTGCAGATGCTGGAGGTGGAAGTTCGGGTAGTGGAATATCTGGTGTTGGAAGTGCTGGAAAAGGATATGGTTACGGTTCCACAAGTTATGGAGGTGAAAATAGCTATGGTCATACACCTTACGTAGGTGCCGGTGCTGAAAGGCGTGGTACTGGTGGTGAAGGTTCTAGAAGTGGAGGTTCTGGAGGTGGAAATAGCTATGGTTCTGCACCTTATGGAGGTGCCGGTGCTGGAAGTGGTGGTACTGGTGGTGGAGGTTCTGGAGGTGGTTCTACACCTTACGTAGGTGCCGGTACTGGTGGTGAAGGTTCAAGAAGTGGAGGTTCTAAAGGTGGAAATAGCTATGGTTCTGCACCTTATGGAGGTGCCGGTGCTGGAAGTGGTGGTACTGGTGGTGGAGGTTCTGGAGGTGGTTCTACACCTTACGTAGGTGCCGGTGCTGAAAGGCGTGGTACTGGTGGTGAAGGTTCTAGAAGTGGAGGTTCTGGAGGTGGAAATAGCTATGGTTCTGCACCTTATGGAGGTGCCGGTGCTGGAAGTGGTGGTACTGGTGGTGGAGGTTCTGGAGGTCGTTCTACACCTTACGTAGGTGCCGGTGCTGAAAGGCGTGGTACTGGTGGTGAAGGTTCTAGAAGTGGAGGTTCTGGAGGTGGAAATAGCTATGGTTCTGCACCTTATGGAGGTGCCGATGCTGGAAGTGGTGGTACTGGTGGTGGAGGTTCTGGAGGTGGTTCTACACCTTACGTAGGTGCCGGTGCTGAAAGGCGTGGTACTGGTGGTGAAGGTTCTAGAAGTGGAGGTTCTGGAGGTGGAAATAGCTATGGTTCTGCACCTTATGGAGGTGCCGGTGCTGGAAGTGGTGGTACTGGTGGTGGAGGTTCTGGAGGTCGTTCTACACCTTACGTAGGTGCCGGTGCTGAAAGGCGTGGTACTGGTGGTGAAGGTTCTAGAAGTGGAGGTTCTGGAGGTGGAAATAGCTATGGTTCTGCACCTTATGGAGGTGCCGATGCTGGAAGTGGTGGTACTGGTGGTGGAGGTTCTGGAGGTGGTTCTACACCTTACGTAGGTGCCGGTGCTGAAAGGCGTGGTACTGGTGGTGAAGGTTCTAGAAGTGGAGGTTCTGGAGGTGGAAATAGCTATGGTTCTGCACCTTATGGAGGTGCCGGTGCTGGAAGTGGTGGTACTGGTGGTGGAGGTTCTGGAGGTGGTTCTACACCTTACGTAGGTGCCGGTGCTGAAAGGCGTGGTACTGGTGGTGAAGGTTCTAGAAGTGGAGGTTCTGGAGGTGGAAATAGCTATGGTTCTGCACCTTATGGAGGTGCCGGTGCTGGAAGTGGTGGTACTGGTGGTGGAGGTTCTGGAGGTGGTTCTACACCTTACGTAGGTGCCGGTGCTGAAAGGCGTGGTACTGGTGGTGAAGGTTCTAGAAGTGGAGGTTCTGGAGGTGGAAATAGCTATGGTTCTGCACCTTATGGAGGTGCCGGTGCTGGAAGTGGTGGTACTGGTGGTTGAGGTTCTGGAGGTAGTTCTACACCTTACGTAGGTGCCGGTGCTGAAAGGCGTGGTACTGGTGGTGAAGGTTCTAGAAGTGGAGGTTCTGGAGGTGGAAATAGCTATGGTTCTGCACCTTATGGAGGTGCCGGTGCTGGAAGTGGTGGTACTGGTGGTGGAGGTTCTGGAGGTAGTTCTACACCTTACGTAGGTGCCGGTGCTGAAAGGCGTGGTACTGGTGGTGAAGGTTCTAGAAGTGGAGGTTCTGGAGGTGGAAATAGCTATGGTTCTGCACCTTATGGAGGTGCCGGTGCTGGAAGTGGTGGTACTGGTGGTGGAGGTTCTGGAGGTAGTTCTACACCTTACGTAGGTGCCGGTGCTGCAAGGCGTGGTACTGGTGGTGAAGGTTCTAGAAGTGGAGGTTCTGGAGGTGGAAATAGCTATGGTTCTGCACCTTATGGAGGTGCCGGTGCTGGAAGTGGTGGTACTGGTGGTGGAGGTTCTGGAGGTGGTTCTACACCTTACGTAGGTGCCGGTGCTGAAAGGCGTGGTACTGGTGGTGAAGGTTCTAGAAGTGGAGGTTCTGGAGGTGGAAATAGCTATGGTTCTGCACCTTATGGAGGTGCCGGTGTTGGAAGTGGTGGTATTGGTGGTGGAGGTTCTGGAGGTCGTTCTACACCTTACGTAGGTGCCGGTGCTGAAAGGCGTGGTACTGGTGGTGAAGGTTCTAGAAGTGGAGGTTCTGGAGGTGGAAATAGCTATGGTTCTGCACCTTATGGAGGTGCCGGTGCTGGAAGTGGTGGTACTGGTGGTGGAGGTTCTGGAGGTAGTTCTACACCTTACGTAGGTGCCGGTGCTGAAAGGCGTGGTACTGGTGGTGAAGGTTCTAGAAGTGGAGGTTCTGGAGGTGGAAATAGCTATGGTTCTGCACCTTATGGAGGTGCCGGTGCTGGAAGTGGTGGTACTGGTGGTGGAGGTTCTGGAGGTGGTTCTACACCTTACGTAGGTGCCGGTGCTGAAAGGCGTGGTACTGGTGGTGAAGGTTCTAGAAGTGGAGGTTCTGGAGGTGGAAATAGCTATGGTTCTGCACCTTATGGAGGTGCCGGTGTTGGAAGTGGTGGTACTGGTGGTGGAGGTTCTGGAGGTCGTTCTACACCTTACGTAGGTGCCGGTGCTGAAAGGCGTGGTACTGGTGGTGAAGGTTCTAGAAGTGGAGGTTCTGGAGGTGGAAATAGCTATGGTTCTGCACCTTATGGAGGTGCCGGTGCTGGAAGTGGTGGTACTGGTGGTGGAGGTTCTGGAGGTGGTTCTTCACCTTACGTAGGTGCCGGTGCTGAAAGGCGTGGTACTGGTGGTGAAGGTTCTAGAAGTGGAGGTTCTGGAGATGGAAATAGCTATGGTTCTGCACCTTATGGAGGTGCCGGTGCTGGAAAATGGTGGTACTGGTGGTGGAGGTTCTGGAGGTCGTTCTACACCTTACGTAGGTGCCGGTGCTGAAAGGCGTGGTACTGGTGGTGAAGGTTCTAGAAGTGGAGGTTCTGGAGGTGGAAATAGCTATGGTTCTGCACCTTATGGAGGTGCCGGTGCTGGAAGTGGTGGTACTGGTGGTGGAGGTTCTGGAGGTGGTTCTACACCTTACGTAGGTGCCGGTGCTGAAAGGCGTGGTACTGGTGGTGAAGGTTCTAGAAGTGGAGGTTCTGGAGGTGGAAATAGCTATGGTTCTGCACCTTATGGAGGTGCCGGTGTTGGAAGGGGTGGTACTGGTGGTGGAGGTTCTGGAGGTAGTTCTACACCTTACGTAGGTGCCGGTGCTGAAAGGCGTGGTACTGGTGGTGAAGGTTCTAGAAGTGGAGGTTCTGGAGGTGGAAATAGCTATGGTTCTGCACCTTATGGAGGTGCCGGTGCTGGAAGTGGTGGTACTGGTGGTGAAGGTTCTAGAAGTGGAGGTTCTGGAGGTGGAAATAGCTATGGTTCTGCACCTTATGGAGGTGCCGGTGCTGGAAGTGGTGGTACTGGTGGTGGAGGTTCTGGAGGTGGTTCTACACCTTACGTAGATGCCGGTGCTGAAAGGCGTGGTACTGGTGGTGAAGGTTCTAGAAGTGGAGGTTCTGGAGGTGGAAATAGCTATGGTTCTGCACCTTATGGAGGTACCGGTTCTGGAAGTGGTGGTACTGGTGGTGGAGGTTCTGGAGGTGGTTCTACACCTTACGTAGGTGCTGGTGCTGAAAGGCGTGGTACTGGTGGTGAAGGTTCTAGAAGTGGAGGTTCTGGAGGTGGAAATAGCTATGGTTCTGCACCTTATGGAGGTGCCGGTGCTGGAAGTGGTGGTACTGGTGGTGGAGGTTCTGGAGGTAGTTCTACACCTTATGTAGGTGCCGGTGCTGGAAGGCGTGGTACTGGTGTTGGAGGTTCTAGAAGTGGAAGTTCTGGAGGTGGAAGTTCGAGAAGTGGAAGTGCTGGCAAAGGATATGGTTACGGTTCTACAAGTTATGGAGGTGGAAATAGCTATGGTTCTACACCTTATGGAGGTGCCGATGCTGGAAGTGGTGGAGGTTCTGGAGCTGGGGGTTCTGGAGGTGAAAGTTCTGGAAGTGGAAGTGCTGGCAAAGGCTATGGTCACGGTTCTACAAGTTATGGAGGTGCCGATGCTGGAAGGCGTGGTACTGGTGGTGGAGGTTCTAGAAGTGGAGGTTCTGAAGGTGGAAGTTTGAGAAGTGGAAGTGCTGGAAAAGGATATGGTGGAATTTTTGGTGGTGGAGGTTCTGAAGGTGGAATGTCTCGAGGTGGAAGTTCCGGAGGTGGAAGATCCGGAGATAGAAGGGCTAGAATTATATTTATAGTGGATACCAGTAGGCGAAGTGGGGGGTCGGGTAATGTTGGTCAGGATGACTGCACATGCAGGATAACATGTAAACCAGGAGAAATGAAAAAATCCACTTGTAAATATTATATGAAACCAGTACTTTGCTGCAAGAAAAAACCGAAAAAAGGATATGGATACTGAAGTTGAATGCTGCATATGAAGAACATAGAATACATTTTAATCGTATTCAATCGATCTTGATTTTCTATCGAAAGGCGTTTGCCGTATTACTGTATACTTGTCTTTTATGTAGATCTTTCTTTCAAATATGAATATACAATCATTTACCTTGTCAAAAAATATAAATGTATTCAGAAACAAGAAGAAAAGCCAGGTTCGCCGACCTTTTCTAGCGGTTTTGTAGCGAGTACAAATAAAATATATATTCGACACTATACATATAATATATTTATGATATCTTGCAATTAAATATTGATGCTTTTCGTATTTTATTTTCAATTCTTAATCGTTAGAATTTTCAGAAATCGACATGACTTAAACGCTAACCGCGAAGAGAGCCCAGTCATACAACATAATTTCAACATTACAATGCACAGTGAACACAGGAAGAGCATAACAGGAGACTTTTCTGTACAAGTACAAGTACAAAAAAGCTTAATTTTATTTGTTTCTTGTTATTTGTATAATAGTTGGATGATTGCAGGAAAAATATTATTTACACATGAGGGTCAATGCATATGAACAAAAGGATGTATATTGGAGTCAAAGCCATAAACCTAGAGGCACGAAAACGTTCTCGAAAGAACAAAATTGTCTCCATTTTTTCAGATATATTTTCACCACACATTAACAAATTTTAATTACTGGGAGACTGAGTTTCTTTCTGTAAAACGATCAAAATTTATTTTTCTTCCATTTTATCGCAAACACACCAAGCACCTTGCTAGTAGATAACTTGTTTGTTCTATTTGAGATCTTTGATGGTCCCAGTTGAATTTGTTCACTTCTTTTCGGAACTTGGTTTAATGCTTTGCATCTTGGGATTAATGTGTGTTGCTGTAGAAGATATAGTGACATCCATCGTCGTTCACTTTTTTCTATCGAAGGGTTACGTGTCATCGACGTACAAAAGTGAAAATATGAATAAAATGAAATCTGAAGTAAACAGCAATGAGATAACAATCCAACAAGCCGTGTCGATAAATCAAATTAGGGATGAACCCAGAATGAATAAAAGTCGTTATACCATATACACCATTTTGACATTGAAAGAAACTTTGGTATACCGTGCTTGTTTTTGGACTTTGAACAAATGAAAATTGTCTGAAATTGATTGGGATTTTTTTAAGACATTAATTACACGTGGCATATATCGTCTGTCTATCTATTACGGAAAAAAAAACTCGTTAAATCTTGCGTCGGAACGAGAAAAGTAGAATTATAAGCCTACTTGATCTGTGAAAAGTTAAGACTGGTTCCCTGTCATATATCTTTTTTGCTCGACATGAGCATGTTGCAAGGATGAGAACCAGCCTATAACAAGTTGTCAAGATTTGATGCAAGTTTGCAATTATCCGTTTTATAATTTAAAGGGCTATGGGTTATATCATTGTTTGTGGAGTTTTTGTCTCGTTTACGTCTAAAAAAAACTTTCTTTATTCATATTCATCTATATACTGTGGATTTGTTTATTTTCGTGAGTACCAATTTTCGTGAATTAAGGAACAATTGTATTTTCGTGGATATTTGATTTTCCAAAGATTTTTCAAGCGTTTTAAACTTTTGAAACTTAAATGTTAACCCTGGATAATTGTCGTATCGCACAAGATATCGTGGTAAAGTATTTCTACAGTCTCCTTTAATTCCTACCTCTCACTTGCTATCGTTTATTTATATGTCGCGCGTGACATATCATAAAACGGTTTTGATTTTAATCAGGCTGCTCCTATATAATGTTATTCAGTCAATATCTAAATGTACCATAGGATTATTGCACCGATATTCCACAATGTTTGTGCAATAACCCCTTTATAATATAATATAAATATGTCGTCTGCTTCCGTGAAAATATCGTTTTACTCAGAACCTCTTTAGCATGTACCAAACTTTGCCTTTGATTGCTTACATCCACTTCATTTGAACTTTGGTGGATAGTTGTCTTATTGGCAATCATACCAATAAATAACATCCAATCAGGAGTTGCGATTGTACGCATGAACAGATTATACAGGCAAACCCGAAAAAATTTAAATTAAAGGCCAATCCGTCTCTATCAAATACGAAGGTCAACCCCAAAGTAAAAAGTGTTACACTTGTAACGATTACGGACATGTATCGACAGATTGTCCAAATGGTGATCTTACACTGACACACCAAGTCCGAGTGGGATAACTATTTTACATCCCAGCTCTTCTAGACTATATGAAAAAAACGTTTACGCTTCAGAATACCATACAATAATTATAATATACTTTATATATTACTATATAGTATATATCCTTTTGACCCTCGGATACAACGTTTAAATATGTTAAATTAACAGAGTGTTTCTATACAGTCATTCTGGTGTAGGATAGTATGAATCGTGGCTTTATATGCTAAAGGTCTTAAGTTCGATTCCCCGCTTAGACACTGGAAATATAGTGGATTTTTACTACATAATTTTGAAAGTTAGTCTTTATTCTGATTGAATATTTCTAAGCTTTATTGTGTGTCCGACATTCTCGCCAAAAAATGTTACAGAATAAAAGAAAGCATGCACAACAAAGAAACTCAAGGTAGGGTGATCTGTTAGGGGTGATCCGTCATCTAGCAAACCATACTCCGTTGCAAAGGAAGGTAGCAACACATCGAGTGATAAAACTCTGCAAATAAATCGTAAATCATTAAGTGCAAAGAAAGTAGAGAAAAATAAAGAAAAAGATGAAGAAAAAATATTCTGATATAGAAAAGGTTGAAAGGGAACAGGAAAAAAAAAAGAGAAACAGAGACCGACTTATTATTAAGAGTTCTGTTCAAACAGGGAAAGAAAAAACTTACAAACGTAAAAAAGTTCATCGGAAGGTACCAAGAACTTGTTGATAAATATTCCGTATCAACTTCACAATTAATACACGATGGTCTTGAAGTATAGATTTTGTGTGCTGACGTTGTTTATCATCTTAATATCGTGTTATAGTATCTTTTATTTATCTTTATTAATATTACTTTTACTGTTAAGTCTGTTTTTTAAGATATCCATTTGACGTGACTCTGTGCTTATGTATCCCGTCATACTTTGAACGACAAAATTATTTTATTTATTAATTATACTTTTACTGTTGAGTCTGTTTTTTGTGATATACATTTGACGTAACTCTGTACTTATGTATATCGTCATACTTTGTACCACACAATTATTTTATTTTATTTATTAATATTACTTTTACTGTTAAGTCTGTTTTTTGTTATATCCATTTTACGTGACTTTGTATTTGTGTATCCCCTCGTACTTTGAACGACAAAATTATTTTATGTCTACCTGTGCGAATTTCAAACGCGCGATTTTACGCCAGTACTTAAAACCTTCCATCCTTTATGTGTGGATTTTACATAGATGCATAAAATCGTATAATATAAGCAAAATGAGGATGTTAAATTTGATGTATGCCTTTTTGTGCTTCTTCGCTACATTTGTTTGTTTTTATAGTGATTAAGATGATAATACAATGTTGACTGCTGTACCCCTAGTTTTGACATTTTTACCTATTGTGTCTGTTTGTTTTGTTCACGCATCATTGTCAATATAATGGAATTTGATGCAACTGTCATACAAGTGAGATGTTTAGCTAGCTATAAAACCAGGTTCAATCCACCATTTTCTACATAAGAAAATGCCTGTACCAAGTCAGGAATATGACAGTTGTTATCCATTTGTTTGATGTGTTTGAGCTTTTGATTTTGCCATTTGATAATGACTTATATCTAGAAATTGACTATGAGGTCGGTTGAAAACAAAACTTTACGACAAAAGAGATGATTTCAGCTTCCCAATTGTAAATTTTCATTTTTAAACCAAGAGTTCCAAATGGTGAAGTTGAAATCATCACTTTGTAAATTTTACGGACGCCATCACGAGTTGGTTGACCGTTATGAAATATCTGTTTCACAGATGATATCGGATATGTTCCTTATGTCGTAACTACAATTCCGTTCCCTTTTCACAAATGTTACCTACCGAAGTAGACTATTTACCCCTATTTGTGACATTTTTACCTATTGTTTTTGTTTGTTTTGTTCACACATCGTTGTCAATATTATGGAATTTGATGCGACTGTCATACAAGTGAGAGGTTTAGCTAGCTTTAAAACCAGGTTCAATCCACCATTTTTTACATAAGAAAATGCCTGTACCAAGTCAGGAATATGACAGTTGTTATCCATTCGTTTGATGTGTTTGTTATTTTTTTATTTTGCCATTTGATTGGGGACTTTCCTTTTTGAATTTTCCTCGGATTTCAGTATTTTTGTGATTTTACTTTTTACAAAGATCCAGACTCTTAAAAGCAGTAATATACGTTCATCTTACACTAAACCCCCTCCTTTATAACTATTACAATGTCTAACTGTAACAATCACCTCTATCTATTGATAGATTGTATAATCTATTTTTACATATATGAATTAAATTAATATGTTTTTCTTGACATTAAAGTGTTCGAAATATTAGATGATAATAGAAACATAGACATTATATGTTTACAAAAGTTTGAATTTTCGAAATACTAAGGCTTTTCTACCTCAGGAATAGATTACCTTAGCTGTATTTGGCAACACTTTTAGGAATTTTTGGTCCTCAATGCACTTCAACTTCGTACTTAATTTAGCCTTTTTAACTTTTTTTGATTCGAGCGTCACTGATGAGTCTTTTGTAGACGAAACGCGCGTCTGGCGCAAGTACAAAATTTCAACCCTGGTATCTATGATTAGTTTATTTACAACCACTGTGTCGATGCCACTGCTGGTGAAGGTTTCTCCTCAAGGGTATAACCAACCTACGAGTCAGCACTTCTGTGTTGATATGAATTATCATTGATATGGTCAAATTATAAATAAACTGTATACAAAAGTTTGAATTTTCGAAATACTAAGGCTTTTCTACCTCAGAATAGATTACCTTAGCTGTATTTGGCAAAACTTTG